ATATACTCGTATATAAATGTATCATAAATATGATAAATGTATTGTAATGGGGTATATTTCCGTATTAATTTCTTTGTCTCGCCTGATGCGCAGTTGTCCCGGAATGCACGCGACGAGATCGAAATAATCAATTTTTGTTAACTAACCGAGAAGTGGGAAAGGACAGGTATCAGTCAACCAACTTACTAATAGCAAAAGACAACTATAAAAATATTACGCGCGGTCGTTTAGCAAAAATCATAACGTGAAGCTGGCCAGCTTACCTTGTACGACTAGTCGCGCTATCAGGGGGAGCAAATCAGCGTCGCCTCTTAATATATGGTTCAAGTTGCCACTTTTCCACACTGAAGACGAGGCCTCTTTAATCGCCCTACTGCTTCCACCGGGCGGATTCAGTAACCTGGTGGCTCACCTACGATGGCGTTTGCTAACCACTCGAGACCACAGCAACAACTAAAACTACTGGTAGTCTGGTATTCGTGCTCCTTGCGATGTTTGCACTCACGCACGCTGCTACCGATGCTAGAGTTACTCTCTCGCTTTCGTTGCTGTTGATTCTCGAGATGCTCCTGCACTGTGGAACGCTATTAACGTTTCTCAAGATACTCTGCTACTCTCGCGTTTCTCCTCGACTCCTGCACGCTGTTACTAGTTTCAAAGGCGCTCTCCCATTGGTCCTTCTTTCTTCGAGCGTGCCTCCCCACCCCCCATTTTGGACCGAGTTCCCGTTTTCAACTTCCCCCGGCCTGTAGGTGCTGCCCTCGGAGGCAACCATGCGATCGAGATGGTAGCGCAAACCGGACGTTTACCGTCATAGTATAAATAAATAAATTAATAAATGTATAAATTGTTACAATGATTACACAGATCAGCATGGTTTTGTTATAGACTAGGTTAAAGGCCATTTCCGAAATAAATTTCGGCGTGAACAACACGGTTCTTCGCCATATTTGAACATCGCCATTTTTTATTATTTTTCAAATCTGAACTAACCATCAGAAAGGGATAGTTTTCAGCTTTTCATATTACTATTTATATGTATGATTATTATTTTTTAAACCGAAGATATTGCTGATTGAATAAAACTAAATTATATGTTTCGTAATGATCGATATATGAAGAGAAAAAATGACAGGTCTTGTAAATTCCTTTTAAGAATCTTTGTTGAAGGAGGTATCATATAAACAAAAAATCTCATATTTTCAAAAAATTCATATTTTGAAGTATTGTTTATATATTGTGACGGTAAACGTCAAATTAGCGCTGATAATATAACTTAATTGTTGCCTGTGAGGGCAGCACCTACCGGGGGGACGAAATTCGTAACTAAGGAATTCGGCACGCGAGCAGACGGAACGCACGCGATTGAAACCGAACTAGTGAAGCGTCAACTGTCAACACGCCCGTTCGCCTTTGCTACTTCGCCGTTGTCAATCCGAGTGCCGCTTGAGTTAAATCACCAGTGAAATATCCAGAGCAGCAACATCCAGCCATCTACAATCGTTGCCGCCAAGGTGCCATACGATTGCCAGTTCGGAGCCAGATCAAGAGAGTGTGTGGGAGGTTTCGCCATCGAGGGCGAAACCATAACCGCGTGCGCGTGTTCGCGACCGGCGATAAACATTCAAAACTGTTCCGCTCTGTGCGAGTTATTTGTGTTTCCTTCGATCGCCTGCAATAATAAGGTAAGCTGGCCAGCTTAATTTCGCGATCGCGGTTGCATGATTGGTAATTAATTTCCGATATTCGAAGCGTGCGTGTATCGGCTCTAATAACAAAGAGCAGCGAGCGTACCGGCAAAGCGTGTTGTCGATGAGCGAGCGTCAATGTAAACAAACGCGCGGGCCGACTTTGTGTAGTATTTGAATGATAATAAAAGGCTCCGTCCGTGTTATTAACAAGTAATTTTGACTCACTCTTTTCGTATAGCTTCCACTGACTTTTCCCAGATTAGAGGACTTACTGGTTGACTGACGCACGTTTCCACATGCTCTCCGATTTATGTATTGAGCATAAATAATTACGCTCGTCCTTTTAGTATAATTGCACGAATAAAATAATTAAACGGTTTTACCCCGTTACAATATACATTATTAAAAAATTTACAGCTACGAAATGTAGAAAATAAAAAATTTTATTATTTTTAAAAGTATAAGAAATTTACTTTATTTTATACCAGTATACTTTCTTATGCATTTATATATAACATATCTCGTATAAATTGAATTAAAATTCTTAAAAAAAAATATTTTTTTAAGTTAGAAAAATTTTAATTTTTCTATTTCAGATAAAATTTTTCTAACTTTATATTCAATTCAAAAACACATTTTTTTGTATTTAGGTTTTTTTTTAGGACACATAGTATTCAAAACACGAAACATTTTTGAAATATAGTAATTTTTTATAAAATCATCTGCCGTATCATAAAAAAAAATATCAAGCATAACATTCGATTTATCATTTTGAAACTTCAGCAAATGCCTTTTGAATGACTTTAAGTTTACTTAGATTTCATTATTTCTGGCTATCATTTAAGTTGTCAAAGTTGTTCCAAAAATTTTTGAAAATTTTAAATCTTTGCGCATGCGGAAAATAGACATATGTATAGCAAACAATTTTTTTTGTACAATACGAGGTCTGTTTCAAAAAAAGTCGATCTACGTTCATATCTTTGCAAGGAGAGACTCAGGTGACCTTTGGAGAGTACGTACGTCACCAGCAATTCTTACCCTATTCATCAATAGTCCGAGATATCTACAAAATGCCTTAGTTTCCACGCAACGTGCATTTGCTTACAATGACTTTCTTGTGTTCATCAGAACAAACCGAAACGCGAATTTACATAAAATTTTGCTTTAATCTTGATAAAAGTTTGATTATGATTCTGAAACAAAATAACAATCTTCGGAGTGAAAGCCTCGGCCGAAAAAAGCCCGTCAAAGTCGAAGCAACATCAAGTCAATGTTGATTGTTTTTTTCGATTATAAGGGTGTTTTGCACCACAAACATGCTCCTAAAAGCCAGAGAATCAACAAAAGTGCTACGTTGAAGTTTTGAAAAGATTGCATGATATAAGGAAAAAATGATCGTAACTTTGGGAAACCGGTGACTAGCATCTTCATTACGACAATGCTCCAGCGCACGCGTCAAACCTTGTGCAGCAGTATTTATTGAAACACAGTGTTGCGCAGCTCCATCAGCCTCAATATAGTCCCAATATAGCTCCCTGCGACTTTTCGCTATTTCCTCGATTAAAAATGCTTAAAAGACATCGATTCGACGATAAAGAGACTGGTAAAACTAATGAGACGAATGCACTAAAGACGATTCCAAAGTCTGACTTTCAAGAGTGCTTTAATAAGTAGAAACATCGATATAAGCATCTTATTCAGTCAAATGGGGACTACTTTGAAGGATGACAAAGATTAAATCAAGTGCCAAGAAGTCGAGGTAGGTTGGGTACTTTTGAGATAGACTTCGTACGTTGAAAGAGTATTACAAGACCTTTAAAGTTATCTGTTGTAACGGGACTTTTGCTCGAGGTATTTCGAACAGAAGCCGAAACAAAAATGAATTATTATTGGCGGATGACAATTATATGTAGCAAGCGTTGTCGTTACCCTGTACAACCCTAAGCTCCCGCATAGGCGCGTCCAGGGTCCAGCTGCTTCAGATTGCCTCCTTCGTCAAGAGAGAGAAATCAACCCGCAGAGAGTGTCATGAGCTACACGAAAATCAACTAGTGAATAACTGAGTGGGAACGAGGCGCGAATTAATAAAGTGACTGACTATTATAAATAGAGCGGGAGTGGTTAGGCTAATAACTCGGCACAAATTTCAGATAAATAGTAGTTTGTATTAGCAAGAGGGAAGTTGATACAAATTTTAGAGTTGCGAAACGTAAACTCGACGAAAATCGAGCTACGCGCCTGCGTTATATAGGCCAGTGCAACATAAACACTCGTAGACATGCACCCGAGATAAACGAGTATAACGCACGCGCCACGTGAGTGAACCGAACTCGGGCTTAAGTTACGTTATGAGCAGCCACCGATAGAAAGCGAACCAGCGCGCCGTATACAAATCTGTAAGCTAACATGCTTGCTCAGTCGGATTCACAGGCGAATGATAGTCGACGCGATAAAACATTAATACACGGTACAAAGAAATGATAACATACGTCTGAAGCACTAGACGCTGTAACAAGCGGATCAAACGAAAAATTATACAAGACGAGCGTAAGGAGAGAGAAAACTAAATGACGAGCTAGTACTTACAGTGCTAATCGCTCGCTTAACCCTTCAGGATTTAGTAGCGCACTCACTTCGCGGATCTATCTTGCGTATCCGTTTTTTACTAGTAGGCGATCGCCTTAAAGTTCTCGCTCGGGTCCTAGGATATCGGCGCTGATACTGCTAGTCGTGCGAACGGCTGCCTTGCTTCTCTTCGCTACAATTCTCCGTGTCGCACTCGTATCGGTTGTCCTTCTCGTGAGGTGTACACTGGTGTGCAAAAGTTTCCTACGATGCATAGAATCTTAAATAAAAACTTTTAAAATTTGTAGTTTTCATTTGAGGTGATCTTCAACTTTTGAGTGGTAGTATATATGTGTGGCATGTCTAGCTTAAAGATTTTTTGTGTGCCGTTGTTATTTGGTCAAGATATAAAAATTTGAAACAAGAAGTAGTATATTTCATTGTTCTAATTTTTAATTTCTGTCACAAATAATGGTTAAATAGCTGACTTTTTTCAATTTTATAAAATTCTATAAAAATGATGATATGTATGAGAAAAAGTAAATAATGATTTTTTTAATAAAATTAAGCATAACAAAATAGATAGATTTATATGACAGAAGATATAAAAATAAACTGAATGACCTATGAACTTTTGTATTCTCATTAACCTTACTTTTATTTATTCCAGGAACTACACGTAGGTACAGTATTATTGTATGGAATACGTATAGTATCACTTTTTATTGAAAAACAAGAACGATTATGTCTAGCACAAATCAGTAACACTCTTTTAAAGCAATTCAGCTATAATGAAATTCATAATAGACGAGTTGCTCTTGGTATTACATGCGTCCAATGCACACCAGTTCAGTTAGAAATTCTAAGACGAGCTGGTGCAATGCCGGTTTCTTCGAGACGCTGTGGAATGATTACTCGTAGAGAAGCGGAACGATTATGCAAATCATTTCTAGGTGACAACACTCCACCAAGGTATTCAATTATATTAAATTTTCATGATTTCGTATTGTGATAATCGACCAACACTTATATAGATTAACTCGCAGCGATCCACACAATATTTGAAAAAAGAGGATTTAGGAGGCGAAAATGTTTCCACGATTAAATAGTGCTAACTATATGGGAGCCAATATTAGTGCTTTTCATCGAAATTAGATCGAAAGACTGTAACATAAACTCAACATTATAATCTTTACTCATTCGCAACCAAGCGCCTCAAATTCATAAATACAAAACATTCGTGTACGTGTACGGAAATTTTTGCAGCTATGTTACATGCCAAAGCACCATTGCCGACACGTAACTAACAAGCATTATGTAAAGCGGATCCAAGAATACAGTCTAGTCACATGCTTATTGAACTGACACCTAGTTATACAAAAGATATACAGTTCCCGGCACGTACTTTTGCACACCCTGAGGCGAAATTTGCCAAACTTTAAAGTTTTATATCTCAGGGAAAAAGAGTCTTAGAATAAAAAACTTGACTCCATTTTAAAGGTAATAGCAACAGTTTTAAGTAACGTTAAGATAATAGTTTTTTACTAGAATTAAGTTTTTTATGCTTCAAAAATGAACATCAAAAATTTCTTTTGTTTGTGCCCTGCAATGGTAGTCGATTCGATCAATCGATACATTAGCGATTCGGTAGCACTCACGATGCTAGAGCGAACGTCTAGGAGAGAGAGGGGGCGCGCGAAAGTTCAATTTTTCAGTTAAGTCTCAGCTGTTATTCGTGAGAGTACCGCCAAATAGTTTTCTACTGTGTTCTAAACTAAAAGTAGTTTTCCTGTTTTTTTTTTGTATACGTGCGCGAGTGAATGCAAAAAGACAATAAAAGTAGCAGCAAAACACAGCAGCAGCGAACAGCAGCATTGATTGAGTACAGCAGTCACCGATCTTAGTGACCGAGGCAGCGCAGCTGGTTGCACAAGGAGCACCGATTATTTTGCTGAACAACAATTACGGCTGATCACCGTAATTGCACCGCAAGGTAGGTGCACCTCCCTTTTTCTACGCGACAAAATACTTTCGTAAGTATTTTGTGGATCGTGACCGTTTTTGTATTCGCACCGAGCGTTAGTTTTCGCGGTAGAATTTTGAATTCTCTCTCTCTCTCTCTCTCGCCGTATTATTGTAACAAATTGTAAATCCTATTCGCGTGCGCAAATCTTTCGGCCCAACGAGGACTGCAGTTTTTTGTGTGATAAACGATCTTAATTTTATTCGCCGTGTTACGTTATTTCGTTCCCCTTTAGTTTAATGGATCCGTCACCAGTTATTTTTTTAAATCGATTTCATCTAGAGAATAGTTAGAGTAAACATTAGTACATTCACACCTAAGATGGGTCGAGTGTCACAAGTCAGGTGACTTAAGGTGAGTTCAACTCTGTTGAAAAAGGAGGCATTGGAACGAAAGTATTAAACGTAAAGGCGAATATACGTATACTCATACGTGATTAACGGAGCGTCGATTAGCTCTGCATTGTGGGAGTTTGTTCTTTAGTAAACCCATTTTGTACCAGCTAATCCACCCCGTGATAGCCCATATACAAATTTATTTATTTGCTACGTAAATCAGTGCATCTTTAAAAATCCAAGCAAAATAAAAAGGCGGAATTGTTCCTCTTTAAAATAACAGTGACAGAACTCATTTCTGAATTTGTTATACAGATATAGCTTTTTTTATAAAAAAATCGTTTTTTTACCAGCTCATATCTCGATTACTATGCATTAAATAAAAAAATCTTTAAAAACAAAAGTTGTTTCTTTTTTGATAAAGAAGACAAAAATAAAGTGAAAACCAAGATCTGAAACAAATTTTTTTTTTCATTTTTTCACGCTAGCCATATTTTTATTTTTCATATTCTTTATTTTTTTTATATTTAATTACGATAAAAAGTCTCAAACCGATTTCCAATAATAAATTTTTAGTTAAGTTTATCAATAAATAAATAAATAAAAATAAATAGAAATAAATAATTACTAGACAAATTTATAAAGTAATACATACTTATTGTATATTATCATATTATTATTATGTAAATATAATTAAACTTTGTAACAGAGAATTAACGACCGTTCCCGTCTGGGTAGCTCCCAGCCGTCCGCACAAATTATTTATTCGGGGATTCGGAAAGCGAAAGACGTTCCCACGACTGAATAACGCGTCGAGCATAAACACGTTAAACGTACAGATTCGAAGGAGTGATACAGTGGCGAATAAACACAACAGCGGATTAACACACTAATCCTTTACTCGTCAACAATCGATTATAATACGGCGATCTAACGCCTATACACTACGAGCGACACAATAATAAATCCGAATGCGAAGGTGAATCGGTGGCTGATCAGCTTGCCGATTCCCTGTATAAAACAAAATATTACAACAAATGCCCGACAAAACACTTTCCGCCGTTAATTCATTGACCGGGTAGCCAGGAGGTCTACCGTGCTACCACCCATAAGCTGGCGCCCAAACATGCACGAGAGAAAGAGAAAAATAAGAGAACAACACGGCACCGACCTCGACCGTGAGCCTCTCCGACGGCTGGAACGCTCTGCAGTGTGACGTCACTGGTGCGCTCCTTCTCGCTAACCGTCTCGCTGGTGTTTATTGTCATAGCTGTTTACCTTCTTGCTCGTCCTCTCGCTCGCTCCACAAAACTGCTGCCTCAATCCGTTGTTTCGCTCGATCATTGCTGTTGTCGTTGTGTCCGCCGTCTCTCTTTTACTCAGTATTGCAGCACGTCCGAACTGTTCGCGCGCGCACCCGCGCCCCTCGCCGGTTACCCACACGTACCAGTGCCGGATATCCTTCGGAACACGGCTGCGTGCGACCCAGCCTTACACTCAAATACTCGTCCGTAGGTCGCGGGGCCAACTCCGGAAAACCGTGACTTTCGGTTCAATCCACGCGTACGACTTTCTCTGCCCAAAGCCTAGAAGAGACTCTCGAATTTTCCGCAATCATCCACGATTCGAGTGCTCTCTCTCTTTCTCTCTCTCTCTCTCTTTCTCTCTCTCTCTCTTTCTCTCTCTCTCTCTTTCTCTCTCTTTCTTTCTCTCTCTTTCTCTCTCTTCCTCTTTCTTTCTTTTGCGCCATCTCCATCGCTCCAGTCGTCAGCTCAGCCTGTGTTCAGCACCTCGTAAACAAAAATCCAAGCATGAGTGTGTATACCACACGCACACACTCTCAGCTTGGCGCGGCGCACGGACATTTGCGTGAGTCAGACGAACGAAATCGGCCTAGCCAAGATTCTCCGTTACAACTTATTTTGTAATAAGACAAAATGTTACAAAAATAATATAATACTTTCAAAGTAACAAAAATATAATTTTTTATTTAACAAATGGCTAGCGTGAAAAAATGAAAAAAAAAAACTTGTTCCATATCTTAGTTTCCATTTTATTTTTGTATTCTTTACCAAAAAAGAAACAACTTTTGTTTTTAAAGTTTTTTATTTAATGTATAGTAATCGAGATATGAGCTGATGAAAAAAAACAATTTTTTTTATAAAAAGCTATATCTCTGTATAAAAAAATAAGAAATGAGTTCTGTTCCTTTTATTTCAAAGAGAAACGATTCACCTTTTAATTTTGCTTGGAGTTTGAATGATCCGCTGATTTGCGTAGCAAATAAATAAATTTGTATATGGACAAAGGAATTTTTTATGTTCATTTTTTAAACATAAAAAACTTAATCCTAGTACAAACAGTATTATCTTCACGATACTTAAAGCTTTTGCTATTACGTTTAAAATGACGTCAAGTTTTTTTATTCTACGACTCTTTATCGCTGAGATATAAAACTTTAAAGTTTGATAAATTTCGCCTCAGGGTGGGTAAAAGTACGTGCCGAGCACTGTATATAGAGAGATAGTGAGAGAGCGAGAGAGAGAGAAGAAAGAAAGAAAGAAGAGAAAGAGAGAGAAGAGAGAGAGCAAGGCATAGACCTAAACCCAATCCGAAACTACGTAACACCGCCTTGCTGTTGATTGTCCATCACAAAAATGTTCGTAGGAGCCGTTAACGCGCACCTTGCTGGTAACCACATGTGACCTAATCACCAGCTCACGAACACGCTTTCCGCATCAAGTGTGTATCTTCTACTAAGCATCGACGAGGTCGTGATTCGTAACCTATAAAATACAATGAGGAAAGCTAGCCTACGTAGTTACTGCTTCGAACTGCCGATTTTGTTCCCCACTCCATTGCGCACGCAATACGCGTTTTATTCGCTCTCTTTCTCAATCTTTCTCACTTTTCATCTCATCGTCTCCTTTTCTTTGTCACTTACTCTCGGCTTTAATAATCGTCTCTTACCGCACATAGAACAGAAAAAAGACAGGCATGAGAATGCGCACATACGAATACACTCTCCGCTTGATGCTGCTCGTAAACAACGGTGAGAGACCGAACGATAAAAAACCGGCAAATCCATGATTCTTCATTACAATTTTAAAATTATATCATCAGATTACTAAATTTTATCATGAATTTGCATTGGATTTTACGTAGGCAGATATTTCCTGCATTAATGACAATAAAACTAACTATTTTACTTTCTACTTTTCTCACTTCATTTTTAATAAATATACTTCTGATTTTTTTTTTTTTATATACATTTTTCCCTCACTTCTATACTCCCCTCATTTATATTTTTTTCTTTTTCTTATTTCTGAAAATAGACCAAGTTACATTATACTCCTAATAAGTTACATTTAGCGCAATATAGAAACCCTTCAATACTATTATTTTGGTCTATTTGAAAAAGAATAAATAAACGTTCTTTTATTATATCAATACAATATAATTTTTGGATCTCTTATTTTTTGTTACTTCAAAAACTATGGTTATTTTAAATAGTGCAGAAGCACACTACGTATCTGTATTTATTATGCTTTGTTTCCTGTAGTCATAAATAGCAAGTAACTAATTTTCCCATTAATTGTAGAAAGGTGTGGAAG